AATTGTTTTTAATTTTTTAATTTTTTAATTGTTTTAATTTGTTTTTGCCATGGAAATGTTAAATCTTTAAAATTTACGTGGGAGAATAAATCTATAAGACTTGATAAGAAAATTTTGAAAAATAAGGATAATGAGGGTCTTAGCAGATATTTAAAGCATTAGTGTATATAAACATCACACGGATGCCGTTTAAAATGAGTCTGCCACTAGAGTTTTCGATTTATAGTATTGAGGAGGGGAGAAAGGGGGAGACATGTCTGAGGAATCTTCATTTTAAATATCCTCTAAGGCAGTTCCGATGTGATTGGTTCGTGGATCACAGTTGAGTAAGACTGCTGCAGATATGCATCGGGAATAGGATGGTGATAGCAAAGCAGTAGACAGGTCCAAGACGCAGAATAGTGTCCAGAAACATCTATGTCTGAGAACTTATTTTCGAAGATGACATTTTAGTTAATTGACAGAAATGTGGCTTATTTAATAAATGGCTCAGGCAGTTCATCTGAAAGAAAAAGTTAGCTTTCCTCCCTTACACAATATTCATATTGATTAAAGATCTAAATGTATAAATTATGCAAGTACTAGAAAAAAATATACCATTAGTTTAGCCCTGGGGTGGAAGAGGCCTTCTTAAACTAAACTGGAAACCTGGAAGCTGTGAAGGAAAAGATTAAAAGATTTATTTGTCCAAGTTTACTTTCTGAAAGGTTAGATACTCTTTTAAGGTGTGACAACATGGTAAAGTATCTGTGACTGGTTTCCTCGTCCTCTAGATTTTCCATACCTGTTTCAGCAAACAAGAATCAATTAGCCAAAGACCTATTTACCTAGTTTATCTGAAATATTTTAGAAAAATTAAATGTCTGAATTGCATGTAGCTGGTCCATCGTGGCTCATGTGGCAGCACTGAACATTTACTTGTTGGCTCTCCTTTCCCTTGGCGTTCGTGACACTGCCTTCTCCAGGTTCTGCTACTTCATCTTCAGTGAGATTTGCCTCCTCAGTCTTGGCACTAGTTTCCCTTCATAGTTTTCTGTCCTTGAACTTGATCTTGGAGATTTCCTACATGTTCTCTTTGGGCAATCTCATCTTTCATCTCATTATGACTCCAAAATGTGTGCTTCTAGCTTTGGCCCTTCTTAGTTTCACAGTTTATGTATCTGGATGACTCATAGGCATCTTAAACCCATTATTTTCAAGAGTCGTATTCATTTCCTTTCCACCAGCCGTCTAACCGCTGACCAACCATCCATCTCAGTTGAAGCCACCAGAATTATTTTCACTGCTGCTGTGTTACTTTGTGACTTTATTCTGTTCAGGATTCAGAAACAGAAACAGCCCTCGCTGTCTTAAGCAGAGAGGTTTCAGATGTTGGGAAGGGCTGGAGTAATGGCTGCCACCGTTGCACCACCCTCTGGGCAGGTAGGAGCTGGGAATCCCAGCTGCTTGGCTCCATGTCACACCACCCTGGCCTCCTCATCGAGGAGTAAAGGTTTATTTCAGCTATTTGGTTATGTTTTTTTAATCTCATTTCCTTGCTTCCAGTTTGCTGCCTTCAGGTTAGTTATCCACTACATACAATTATTTTCTAAAACTGCATTCGTGTACGCCGGAACACAAACTAAGTTCCTTCCCTAGCATCAAAGGCCACAGCAGTTTGACCTTTACAATTTGGTGCCTTAAAACACCTTGTCCTCATCTCCTCATCCCCACCCTGCTCTACGTGGGTGGCTGATTGTTTCATCAACACACCTGCTTTTGGTGCATGTTCAAACTATGTGGTATCGTCTATACAAAATCTCCATTTCTCTCCCCTCCTTTCCCCCAGACTTTAAGATCATAAGTTGTTGTTTGGTCCAAGAAGAAACCAGCCTCTACCTTTTACTGTACTCTTCCTGATTAGTACTTAGTTTTATAGTTTTAGTTCTTACGTGGTTCATTTTGAGTTAATTTTTTGTATGGTATAAGAGAAGGGGTCTATCTTTGTTGTTTTATATGTAGATACCTAGTTGTTTCAGTACTGTCTCTTGAAAAGACTATTCTTTTCCTATTGAATTCTCTTGCCATTTGTTGAAAATCTGTTATCCACAGTATAAGAGTTGATCGTTGATCCTCAATTTTATTGCATTAATCTATGTGTCTTTCCTTTCACTAGTACCACACTGTGTTGATTACTGTTGTGTTGTAGTAAGTTTTGAAATCAAGATGTATGCACCTTCCAGCTTTGTTCTTTTTTAAAATTAAATTCTGGCTCTTCAGGCTACTTTGAATTTCCATGCTGATTTTAGGATCAGCTTACAGATTTCTATATGAAAGTCAGCAGAGATTTTGGTAAGGATTAAGTGTTGAATCTGTACATCAGTCTGGGGAATGTTGACATTTGAACAATATTTAGTATTACAATCCATAAACAGGATTTTTCCTATTTAGGTCTCAAATATCTTTAAACAACATTTTGTAGTTTTCATAGTACAAATTTTGCACTTTGTTATATCTAATCCTAAGTAGTATTTCTTATAGTCTTATAGTAAATATAATTCTTTTCTGAACTTCATTTTCTGATCAGTCGCTGCTAGTGTGTAGAAACATGATTGTTGGATATTCACCTTACCTCCTGTAACCTTTGCTGAACTCTGTTTTATTCGTTTTTTTTTTTTTTTTTTTTTAGGGGAGTACTTAGGATTTTCTATATGTACAATCATATATGTGGATAAAGATAGTTTTTTTTTTAATCACAATATCATTTTTTAATTTAAAACACAAACATACAAAATGAAATTTCAGAGAGAGTCCTTAATGAGATAACATTATTCTCCTGCGTTATTAAGGTGTATGTATTCTTGGTAGCTCTTAGTCTTGGAAGTAGCATGGCCATCTGTTTTATTGTACCATCTTCCTCTGCAGAAACCCTCAGTGGCTCCCCACATGCCCTTTCTGGCAAAAATCCAGCATCTTATGGGCTCATTCTCCAGAGTACTGTGCATACGTTGTCACAGAAGACAACTTGAAATGGTGACAGCCTGGGCTTCATTTGGGAGTCTTGGCTTCTCACTAGCTGTGCATGGGCAAATGTGGGAGTGTTCCTTATCTTATAAAATTGCAGAACTGGACTTAGAATTTTTAAAGCGTGGTTTCCTTTAGTTCTCTGAACATATTTATAATAGCTACTCTGATGTCTTGTCTGCTAAGTCTGACATTTGGGTCTTCTGAAGGACAGTTTCTGTTGCCCGCTTTCCCTTGCTGTGTATGTTTGGGTCATACTTTCCTGTTTGTTCGTATGCCTGATAACTTCTTATTTTAAACTGGACATTTTAGATATTTTATAGCAATTCCAAATTCTGATTCCCCTTCCCCTTTTCCACGGCTTCTTGTGGTGTCGTGTTGTGCTTGTTGATTTGTTCAGTAACTTGGCTGGCCTATTTCAGTGAAGTTCCTCTGAGGCCACAGCCTAGTCTGTGTGCGTGCACACTGTGTTTGTTCACCTCTCCCACGAATGTGTAGGTTTCAGAGAGGAGAGACTTAGACTTTTCACTGTTATATTCCCTGCACTTAGAAGGGTATCTGGTACATAGTAGGTTCTCAGTAAATCTGAGGAATGAAAAGTATAAAATGACCAAAGTTTACTGCCTTCTTGATTCACAGTTTAATCTGCCTAAATTGAAACAATGTCTAGAACCACTATGAGAAGTGAATTTATGTTGTTTGCAGCTTGAGTTGCTCGTTGCTGCCTAGAGTGAGTATGGCTTACTGGGAAGGAGAGCAGTGATCCGCAGTAGCTGCTTGGGCCCCGAGGGAGGAGAATGTGGCCGAGATGCATGTGCTAGCCGTTTTAAACCTAACGAGACACTAGAGAACAGGAAATGGGTATATTTTCGGTCTCCATTCTTTTGTAGGTCTTCTGGCTTACCCGCTCCTTGCCAGTGGAGGTGTTTGTGGAGAACTGGGATTAGGTTGGAAAAGCCACCTGTTTACAGAATGATGTGGAAAGTTTTCTGTGGTAATTCCATTATTAATAGCTATGGTACAAATGAGTCTCTTAGAAATAGCAGGAATAGACAGGCCAGTATTTTAGCTGCTGCTCAATGGAAAAAAAAAATCTTCATTTGGTTATCTGATATGAAAAATTTTCTTTAAAGTTATTTAAAAAATGATTTCGAATTAATATCTTTCTTTCTCTCTTCTTTCTAGATTCTTACGGAAATCTGTTAATTCTATTTTTTGAGTACTTATGAATAACCACGTATCTTCAAAAGCATCTGCCATGAAGCTCAAACAGACCATCAACCCCATTCTTTTATATTTTATACATTTTATAATATCACTTTATACTGTTTTAACATACATTCCATATTATTTTTTGTCTGAGTCAAGAGAAGAAAAATCAAACCGAATTAAAGCAAAGCCTGTAAATTCCAAACCTGAGTCTGCATACAGATCTATTAACAGTTTGGATGGCTTGGCCTCAGTATTATTCCCTGGATGTGATACACTAGATAAAGTTTTTATGTATGCAAAAAACAAATTCAAGAACAAAAAACTCTTGGGAACACGCGAAGTTTTAAATGAGGAAGATGAAGTACAACCAAATGGAAAAATTTTTAAAAAGGTAAAGTAACCTTTCATTGCCTTTGACTTTCCTCTGCATAAAATGTACCCTTAGAAAAGGCGGCGAGGGACAAGCACGGCCTGCTTCCTTTGGCATTTGCTGATGTGGCGGGAGAAACAGAGTGGGAAAGTGCCACGTCCAGCTTCATACCTGAGTGGGACCAGTGGGAGATGCTGAAAAGAAAGAGAGAGACAAAGGTGGGCTCGGGAGGACCACCGTCCACTGAGGACGGAGCAGTGGCGCAGTTTTATTTTTGCAGGCTGCTTTTACCTCAGAGCATACAGTTGCTGGCTCGGATCAGATCATCTTTGGCACAATCCCCCCTAACCCACATTCTATTATGACCTTTTGCCGTTCAGTCTGTTCGCGGCTGTGAGCGTACTTCCCCGTCTCGGAGCAACACCGCATTGTTCCCTGAATAATTTGTACCTCCCCAGTCTTAGGAGGGTTCGTTGAGGCGAGGCAACCCTTGGCTGGCCTCACAGATGGCAAGGAAGGACCTCGTCAGCTTGCAATCCGCTCTCCACAGGAAGGCAGCTAGACTGCGCTCTAATCTCTCTCCGTACTCTGGTCCTCATTTGTCCTGAATTTTCGCAAAGACACCAAGAATACCCACTTTGTGGGGGCACTTCTGACTCTCAGTATCTGCCAGGACTGGGAATAGAATGTCTAGGGCCATTGGGGCATGAAACTCAAAACTCTTGGTAGCTCCAGAAGCACCTGTTTGTGCTTGAGATTGCTCTGGGTTTTGGGGTGGGACCTGCTATTTCGGATTTTAGCGTAGCTTCCATTGGTCACCTAATGTCTTGGTCCTTTGGTTGTGGGAGTTGCGTGGTTTAGAAAGAATTCTTTTCACAAATATAGAAGAAGCTGCTATTGTTTATATGAAATTAGATAAGACATCCTTAGCGGCAGTGTAGCATAGTGGTTAAGAGCCTGGACCCCAGATACAGATGATGGATTCGAATCTCAGCTTTTCCACTTAACTAGCTGTGTGACTTTGGAAAAGTTATTTAACAAATTTGCCTCAGTTTCTTTTCTATAATATGGAGATAAATATCATTGCCGATATTAGCATTTCTTTGAGCCATGATGTTGTAAGAGCTAAACATATATCATCCTGTTTCAGACTTAATAGCCCTATGAGTCGGTATGAGCATCCTTACTTTACAGATGACGACACAGGGGCAGATAGGTGGGTAACCTACCCAGGGACATTACAGCCAGCAAGCCGTGAACTGGAACTAGAACCCAGGCTGTCTTGCTCCACACCCCGTAAACTAATCCCAGCACTCAGAGTGGCTGAGAAGATTACGTGAATGTATGTTCACATACTCACACACACAATGTGCATAGAACAGTTCATGGCACCTAGTGTAACTGTTCTAGCTTTTATTATTATGTCACTATTGGGATTTCAATGGGAAAAATTCGGGGTGTATACAGACTTAGGCGATGGAGTAGTGCAGCAGATGAAGGGTACTAAGTGCCAGTGTAAGAAACGCCTAAACCTGTGCAGAGTTTTTATGAGTTTATTGTATCCCAACAGATGACAACACCAGGGAGCAAAATATCAAATGCGCTGGAGAACAACAGTTTTGCAGCAGCTTTTACGCATTTGAGATTAAGGAGGGATTGTAGGGGAGATTACATGGCTGTGAGAGAAAGCAAGGCGGGGATTGGATTACAGGAAAGTTAATAAGATTATGTGCTCTTTGGAGGGTTAATATCCCTTCAAAGAGTATTACTTCTGGCATTTCAAAGGTGTGCTAACCTAGATGCACAAGAACAGTGCACAGGGCTTAAAACTTCTCACTAAAGTTAGGGGCCTGGGCATGACTACCCACGTGACCTGCCCACTTAGGAATTCCTGGTCAGATCACCCTGTGAGGTGACTTTCCTTAGAACACCCCGCCCCGCTTTGTGTGCACATAAGTATAGACATGGCCTGGCTTCGTTATCAGCAGTCCTTGATACTCCAGTAGGTAAATATTGGAGGTAAAACTTTTTTGAGGCAGTAAGGTCTGTAGTTGGTTGATAAGTTGGTCAGTTTATAGGCTTAATACCTGTTTAGTCAAAGTTGTTTTCCCCTTATCCTTTTTCCCTAACTATGTGGTGACTCCAGCTGCCTTTTTCTGTCAGTCACGAAGGAACTCAGAATTTGGAGGAGAGTCCAAATAATTACACGGTGGGGTGGAAACACTCAGAGGCCACCAGCCACCGCAGGGCCAGGGGGCTGTTGTTGGACTTCCTTAATACCCATTACGTTTGGTTTGGCCCTCGCCATTCGAATTCACAGTCCTTTCCTTTTAAACATGAAGCAAGTTAGTGTCAGTAACGCCTAGAAATTACAGACATTGTTTTAACTCTAGACAAAAATCTGTAAATGTTCCTCAATTTAAATAGTGATCTTTTACCTTGTTTTGCCTGGAATGGTCCTGATTTATACTTGTCATTCTGACACTAATCATTCCCCCTTAAATCTCAGAAGTAGTTTGGTTAAATTGTGTGGTCACTCTACTTTTAAGGCATATTCTATATTTCTTTCACTGATTAATTTTGCCTCACTTAAATGAATTTTTTCTGCTAGATTAAGAGCTAGCTAGAGTTCATAGCACATTTCTAGAAAATGAAGTCATAGCTAAACACGTTTGGTTATTCTTCTGTAGCCTATAGACTGTCATTTGCAAAACGCTTTATCATAATGGTGTTTGATTTGTGTCATATTTAGTTGCTACTTTTTATGGCACACCATCCTTGATGCTGTTTTTGAGAGATCTGGTAGTTGTAAAAGGCACCGAAAACACTGTGTTTTTTAGGTACTAAGTTTTTCTACTCCTCTGCCTTCTCTTCTGTGCTTCTCATAGTATCTGTAAAACACATTCACTTTTGTCTTTTGATCTAATGCTATTTGAATTCAAAGATTGGGTTCTCTTATTTTTAATCTAAGCGTATATAACAGAAGTCCTGTTTTAGCAGGAAGATTAACTTTTCTCAAGTATCCCACACATATTATAGGGATTTTTATGGGGCTAGTACTATTC